AACCTTAGGATTAAACCTATCAAATATTCAAATAGTTGATGGCTTTTTAATCAGTTAATCACTTTGTTTCCATTCAACCCTGAGCTTTAATTGGCTGTCCTTGGTAAATAGAGGGTTTTTTTGGGGGGGGAGGGGGGAAGAGTATGAGGGAGAATAATTCTTTGGAAGGCAAGTTAGATATGGAGGGGGACTCTGGACAGCCAGAGGTCAGTAAAAAGGCACTGGGCATCTAAACCCCAAGGCAGTGGTCTCAAATCTGGCTGTAGATTAGAATCACCTGGGGACCTTTTACAATTACCATTGCCGAGGACCTAGCACAGATCTATTAAATCAGAATACCTTGGGGGTAGAGCTTGGGCATCAATATTTTTCATGAAGCTCCTAAAATGACTCTTATGTGCAATCAGAGTTGAGAATCCCACCAGGTACAGAAGAGGGGAATGCCATGCCATGAGAAAAAAGTGCAGGCATATGTGGAATATTTCTGACTCCAGCTTGCTATGTGTTATAAGCACACACTACAGAGATGGGAGTTAGAAGAGCAGAAGGGGATGATTCTTGTGGATGGGGTGTTGCCAGAGAATGTAAAATGTGTAAACTGGCCAAAAAAAAAAAAAAAGTGGAAAGCTCAGTGATGCCAAGTGTGGTGGAGTAGTGTGGTGGAAGTGTAGACTGTTGTCATCTTTCTGTACTGCAGTTTGACATTACATAGTTCAAGTAAGTATCCTTAATAGCCTACGAACCAGCAAGTATGATTTTTAGGTAAATATTCTCAAAATAGTGTCTCTCAGGGGGCACGGAGGAGGTTGATCACTGCTGCGTGAGTGGAAGTAATTGGGAACTGGAAGCTTTTCTGGGAGAGTAGATAGGTAGAATGTGGGGGCAACACACCATCAGACTATAATTATTCAGCAGTTAGAAGCAACAGGTTAGATGTACATATAGCAACACGAATGGATCTTAAAACTATAGACATTGGGTGCAAAAGTTATGAGACATAATAAGATACATAAAACAATATTACATTCGTGAATTATAAATGTAGCACACACAAAAATGCAGCACACAAAACAATATTTATTTTGAAAGACCCATACAAATAAACGCTGCCTGTGGGGCGAGGGAAAAGGGAGCAGGCTGTTGTGCTAAAAGGGAATAGGTACCTATTTTTTAAAATTAAGATTTAGGGCCGGCCGAGTGGCTCAGTTGGTTAGGAATGTGAGCGCTGAGCAACAGGGTTGCCGGTTCGATTCCCACATGGGCCAGTGAGCTGGGCCGAGCTGAGCTGCCACTGAGCTGCCAACAGGTGGCAGGATGGCTCAGCTGGTGAGAGCACGTGCTCCTAACAACAAGGTTGCCGGTTGGACTCTCGCAGGGATGGTGGGCTGTGCCCCCCTCTCCCAGCTAAGATTGAATATGGCCCCTTGAGCTGAGTGGCCACAAGCTGCTGATGGGCAGCCAGATGGCGACTGGACTCGGTTGGAGCTGAGCTAGCTGCGCCCTCCACAACTAAGATTGAAGGACAACAACTTGGCTGTTCCCCTTCCCCAACTCCCCAACACTGTTCCCCTCCCCCAATTCCCCAATTTAAAAAAAATCTTTAAAAAAATTAAAAAAGTCTTTCATTAAAAAATAATAAAATAAAATAAAAGTAAGATTTAAATCAGACCTTGAAAGATGAGTAGGAAAGAGGAGGAAAGGGAAGCCTTCTAGAATGGCAAAATGACTCCCCCAAGCTAAGGCCATGAGGCAGGAGTGTGCTGAGCAGGTGGAGTAGGGGAACTGTCTATTTGGAGCAGAGGGGTATATTAGAACAAGTGGGCAGTAAGGCTAAAGAGGGAGGATTGGATAAGATTTTGAAGGTCTGGAAAGTTAGACAAAGAGATTTAAGCGATGATAAAGTAGTTAAGAGAGCCGTAAAAGGATTGATCAGGGAAGAAATGGGATGAAAGTGAAGTCAGATGAGGTGGATGGAGAGAGCCTGGAGTCAGAGAACTGGACTGGAAGTGAATAAACACTATAGTGAATTAAGAAAAAAGATGAAGGGGCGGTCGGTTAGCTCAGGTGGTGAGAGACAGACTCATAACACCAAAGTTGCCGGTTTGATTCCCACATGGGACAAGGAACTGCGCCCTCCACAACTAGATCGAAGACAACTACTTGACTTGGAGCTGATGGGTCCTGGAAAGACACACTGTTCCCCAATAAAGTAAAAAAAAAAATGTGTAACTGTTAAAAAAAAAAAAAGAAAAAGAAAAAAGATGAAGAAGGTAGTCTGGAACAGGATTGCATTGGAGGTGGAGGCTGGAAGAGACATATTGATAGATTACTGGCTGAATACAAACACGGATAGACAAAGTTAAGTCAGAGTACTTTGTGGTCTTAAACAAGGAAGTTAGGGGAAGAAATTAAGTCTAGAAGTAGCTGCGATTTCTCATGCTGGAAATCCAGTTTTCCAGTAACGTGGAACTTAAAAGGTTCTAATGATTCAGTCTTCTCCTTGAACAAGCACCATAAAGCCGGGCTCATAGGTACACCCATTTTAGAGTTGGCAGAGATCTTTGCTTTCCAGATGACAAAAGAGGACCAGACAGGCTCAGTTAATTGCACAAATTCAACCAATTAACTGGAGAAAAGATGGGCTAGAACCAGGCCTCTTAACTATTAGTCCACTGAACTTTCCTAAGCTTTGTTGGATATGAGAGGCTTGAAAATCAAGGCAATGCACATTTAGATTTCGCAGTTTGCCTGAACATGAGTGGTCAATTTTCAAGAAAGAGGACCCAGCCCCTGCCAGCTCACTTTCAATCCATATGCATATGAACTCTCCAGCTGGCTGGGCTTCTAAACAAAAAATCCTTGCATTTGCTTTACTAATCCTTATCTCTACCTGACTGGACAAAGTGAGGACTGTCACTGACTGCCAGCCTCATCAGGTAATATTTTCATACTCCTCTCTGGATAAAAAAGTAAAACAAAGAACTTCTAGAAGGAATAAAATCTTAGAGTTTAAAAGGTCTTAACCTCCCACCCAAACTGAAACCCCCTAGACAATATCCCTGACAGATGGTCATCCTACCTCTATGTTTTCAGCAATGGGGCAGTTCATTCCTTTGTCAGGACAGCTCTGACTACTAGAAAGCTCTGAGTCTGAGTCCTATGTCACTGCAGTGTGATTCAGTGAAAATAGCACAGGCCTTGGAGTCAAGCAGACTTGAGTTAGAATCCTAACTATGTAATTTGCTGCATGACTTGAGCAAGTTATTTATCTTCTATCAGTCTCATTCACTTCATCTGTCCGTTAAGGATAATATCTGTTTTACAGAGTCACTATGAATATTAGAGATTATGAATGTAAAATGCCTAGTACAGTGCCTGGCACAAAGAGCTAATAAAGTGATAGCTGTTATTATCATCATCATAATTATTGTCACACCCATTGGTCCTAGTTTGCCTTATGGTGCTACATACATATGCCTTTCAATACTTTTGAATACTTAAATTTAGTTGTCATGTTATTCCTAAGTGTTCTTTTTTTTAGAGTAAGCATCCATCAGTATATTCTCTTTTGGTTATCCTGCCCTTGGCTGTGCTCCTGCATATGATGTTTGTAGAACATGGTGCCCGTAACTAAACAAAGTACTCCAGGTGTGACCTGAACACTTCAAAACAGAGTAAGACCATAAGCCTCTATTCCCCAGACACCACTCTTCAAGCTGCCTAGGATTCCTTTAGCTTTTTTGGCGACCATGTCACAACTGTCCTAGTTCTATGAAAACCTCCAGGTGTTTTTCATGTGAATGAATTTTAAGTCTTCCCCATTTTGCACTTGTGCAGAATTTATTTTTAAAATTCAAGGGTAAACTTTTTATTGTTGAAAGCTTATTATGTATTAGGTACTGTGCTCAGTTCAATACATAGGGATGACTAGGACAGAGTTTCAACATATTAGAAATGCAAGCTCTACAAAACTGGGTCTATCGTGTTCACTAATGAATCCCCATTTCTTGGAATGATGTCTCCACATGGTTATGTGTTTTCTGTTGTTGAATTAATTAATAAATAAAATATTTTACAATGGAAATTTTCCTTATAAGTGAAAAGGCATTTCCCCAGTTCACTTGTTTTATAAATCCAGATTTTATTTTTTTACAAGCCTATCATTTTAGCCCAACCTTAGTGTATTTTCCATCTAGGGTAGACCTAATTTCCAAAATAAATTTGTACTGTCCCTTTCAAGGCCGAACTAAATACTTATATGCTTTATTTGCTGGATGGCCATTATATTCCACTGTTGGAAGGCCTTTGGTAAGTACTTGTTTGACCCTTAATGCAGGGCTTACATCTCATGGTTAGCAGTAGCAGCTCAACTTTCTGAGTGCTAACCCGAGAATTTCTGGACCCTAGTTCTATTGGGCCCTGACTTGCCGTGGAGAATAAGGTCCTCGGGAGAAGTGTGACTTAGCGGAGGGGAGACCTTGAAATTCTGCATTCATCTGTAAAGGGCTGCCAGGTGCTTATAGGCCCAGCGCTTCCGGGTCGAAATCCATCCTGCAGCCTTCAGATATATGAAATTTAGGGGTGTCCAATTCTCTAAAACCACAGTTGGGGAGGTCTTAGGAGCTCTAGAGTCCTCTCACAGTTTCCTCCAGTATTTGGGCTACAGGTGAGGCACTGGTCACCATCTTGCTATCAAATGCCAGGCAAGCGGCCCCTGGCGTCGCTCGGTAACCACGGAGACACCCTTGCCCCTCCCGTTTTTCATCCTGTAGAGGCTATAAACTACGATTCCCATCACCTGATTTTCGCCACTAGAAAGCTAAGTTGTCTAGATTTGGCTTGTCAGCCCCGTGACCCTGCCGCAGTGAACCGCGGGAGTTGCAGTTCGCGGTGGGGCCTCACTTTTTGCTGCGTAAAGCTACAGAACTACAAATCCAGTGAGCCAGTGGGCTTACACATGCGCCCGAAACAGCCGGTCCTCCCTGGCCCACTCTGCGGGTGCCTGGGAGGTAAGAGGGCGGAGGGAAGGAAGAGGAGGCGGGATCCGGGCCCTGCGTTGGCTGCGGCCTGGCACCAAGGGGGCGGCCCCGGCGGAGTGCAGACCCAGTGGCTCCCGGCGATTATGGACCCGGCCGAGGCGGTGCTGCAGGAAAAAACGCTCAAGTTTATGGTAAGGAGAAGGTGCAGGCCGGGGCATGGTGTAGGCGGTGGCGTTGGCGGCGTCGCTGAGGCTCGGGCCTGGGCCGCCTGTCCACCGGAGGAGGGGGCAGCGGGACTGTGGGCCGAGGCCGGCGGCGGGGGCTGCTGAAGGGGACGGGACAGGAGCTCCAGGGAGGCGGGAAGGGGTGGCGGTGAGGACCCGGGGTGGGGGCCGCAGCTCCGCCATCTTGTGGATGAGAGGCCAAGTGACAGCGGGAGCTTAATCGGGGAGGGGGCTCCGGGCGGCGCGCGGGGCCCTGGAGGGAAAGGGGCGTGGGGACAGTTACTGAAGTGCTCGAAGGAGAGACGCGGTGAGGCCAGGGTTACGGGTAAGGCTTGGGAGAAGAGATGCATTCAGGAGTGGGGAAGGGGAGCGCGGAATAGTGGGAGGAAAGAGATTGGGGGGGGGAGGGGGACCGGCAAGGCTCGATGCAGATGGATCTAAGGGTGGAGGAAAGCCCGGGCTGGTGAGAGACTTGTAGTTTCGTAGAATGAGGGCGTAGAGGTAAGCCTTTACCTTCAGGCTGCAACCCCAGCTTGGCCAAACTACTGTTGACAAACTCTGGAAAGGAAGAGGTCTTACTTAGGAAGATAAAAATTGGGGATGGGGATCTAGGGTTATGGTGACAGTCTCTGGGAAAGGAAGGGGATGTTGACTAGGAGCCAGAATTACAAATGTCAGAAAAGGGGATACATACTCTACTTTGAAAGGAGAGGCTAAATATTGTAGTAAGGATGAGGTGATGAAAAGCAAGAGGTTGATTGGTCAAGGAAACCTGTGTCTACGAGATTGGGGGCAAAATTAATATTAATGGGGTAAAACAAAACAAAAGTGCTGAATTGTAGAGATAGTAACGTGGGGGCCAGACGCTGTATCACTTTCTGGGAAAGGAAAGGAAAGGCGGTGGCGATTAGAATCATAAGACCCGTAGGTGATGAGATCAGTGGAGAAATTCAGGAGATAAAAGGGGGAATGCAGGTAATGGGAAATGGCAGATGTCAGGATTGGTGGTTACTTTCAGTTTTAGGTTGGAGCACACAGTAGGAGCTGGGATTGAATTTTTTAGGTGTGTTTAAATCCTTTGGAGCCCAGTTTTTAAACTTTGTATCAAGCTTTTCTTCTGCTATGTTTGGCAATTTTTTATAGTCTGATATTTGATGCTTTTAATCTGATGCTTCTTGTATATCCTAGGTGTAAAACCAGACTTTGTGGTTACAGCTAAAGAATGATGGGATGCATAGACTTCTATCTTAACAGGTGGCCTTAGGGACATTGATATTATTTGCAGTCAACTCTTGCGTTTTCAGAAATAATTGTAACTTGTCACTACAAATCTTATTTCTTAGTTATTTTGTGTCTTTGCCTGAAATACCAAAATAAATTTAAATAATCATGGACACTAACCTAATTCAATCTAGGCTGTAACTGGCCCTATTTACAAGAATACATTTTCAGAGACTGGTCAGATTTACTAAAATTTTATTTTGTATTAGCGCTTTCAAAAACACCTAACTAAAGTTTGAGTATATCATCAACAAAATTCCATTTTGGAGAAAGTTCTTGAGTTTCTGCCCAATGTTGAGATTCTAAAATATTAAGACTTTGACATTTTTTGGACTTTAAAAGTAAAAGGAAGTTGCTTTATATGTACAGCCATCTTCTATAGTGAAGTCAGAAAAGTGGCAGCTGCTTATTTTTATTTTCCTCCTTAGAGATTGACTTAACCCTAATCTTGACACTTGTGTCAGATTTATGTAATAGTGTGATTTACAGATCATAAAGAGACATTATGAGATCATCTACTCTCCATCAGACCTCAGCCTAGGAACATTCTCAACTACTTGATCTCTGCTTTGTACCAGTGAGTTATAATTCGATAATGGTCTCCTGATTCAGTTAAAGTGGATCTGGAGATGGCCATGCGTAGTTGGCAGCTTTTAGGGCACCACACATTATTAAATGTTGAGTCAGTTTCCATAGGGAGAAGCCAGTTTTTTCTTTAATTTTAGTTACTTTTCATTTTTGACCTTGCCTGCTATTGTGGCTGCTGTTTGAGAAAAGACCAACTGGAAGAGGGTCACCAAGAATGTCACCTTAATAACTGAAGCAGAGAATGGAGAGTTAGAGATTTGGTATTCTTTTTCAGCTCAGTAACTGCCTTATTATGAATCTGAGTAAGTCTCAACTTGCCTTTGGTCCCATTTACCCTGCTATAACATCTGTTTACTCGGAATCAGTTTTGAGGTAGGAAGATACTTTATTTGTGCTTGCACCAGGTGATTAGTACACAGTACACATGGAAGGGCTATGCTTTTAATCAAATTGAACATTTTATATAGTGTGTGGCTTTGTTTTGGCCTTATCATTCCCTCAGTTGTGAATTATGAATGACAGTTTTTGTACGGATGCCCTGATTTCCATAGTTTAAGAAAATGCAGTTTGTTTAAAATGCCAAGATGAAGTGAATATTCCCTTTTATGAATTTTACTCATTACTGCATTAATGTAGTGCTTCAGTTAGGAATTTTACAATAAAATCTCATATTAAGACTGCTTATTCAGAGTTGCCCATAATTCACACGTAGTCTAGACTTAAAAGTTTACTCTTGGATACTTGTGAAAAGTAGTTTAACGTCTAGAAACAAATATTAAAGCAGTAGTTTACATTAATCTATACGCTAATACCTCTCATTCAGCTTTAGCAGGTCCTCAAGGATCTTTCCCAATACTTCCTTGGGCAACAAAATTATAATTCCTCAGAAAAGATAATTGGGAACTGGAAGAGGACCTGAGAAGAGAAATGAATATAATTGAGGGAATGTAGGCATCATGTAGCAGATATATATTTAAAAATATATATATATATATATATATATGGGATGCAAAGACAAGTTGAGGGATGAATTTTAAATTTATTTAAGAAAATGGACAGGATAAACCAGTTCCAGAATCTTAGAACTGGGGAAACATTTGAAACTTGGATGAAATAATTTTAGAGCATATAAAAGAGTTTTTTATACAGTTGATAGATAAGTGAAACTGTATAAAAGATAACTTGCTGTGTAACAAAACACCCCAAAATTTAGTAGCTTAAAAAAAAAAACCCAATTTATTATTTCTTTCAGATCTGTGGTTAACTGATGGGGTTTCTGCTTTACTTGGTGTTGGCAGGGGCACCAGCATAACTGGAATGTTCAAAATGGCCACACTTCCATGGCTGGCCACGGACTGAGAGTTCAGCTGGCTCTTGAGGTCTTCAGGCCTCCTTTTTGTGGGCCTCCTCTTTCCATACGGCCTTTGGAGTTCCTTAAAGCATGGAGCATTCCAAGAGATAGGAAATAGAAGCCAATAAGCCAGTTCTCTCAAGTCCTAGGTTTGAAAGTCTGAGAATGTCACTATTGGTCAAAGATAGTCAGGGGCAGCCCAGAGTCAGAGGGAGGGGAAGTAATCTCTATCTACAGACGTGAAGAGTGGCATGCATAAGCAGAGGGAGAAGTTGCTGGGGGTGGGTGTGCCCTTTTGAGGCTGGCTACCATAGATGCTATTCTAGTTGGATGTTCAGGCTAAAAATACAGATGGGATCAGCCATATTTGTGGGTTATTACACTAGGTATGCTTTGGAGGCATCTCTTTTTGGAGGTTAACTTCTTACGGAACTAACATGCATGAACTTGCATGACTTGCCTTAATAATGTTACTGTAGACATAATACTGGGTGAATTAATATGATTCAGTAACTTTTCTTATTAGCTTGAGAAGCATTATATCTAAAAGCAAGAAATTGCATTTAAAAATAAATACATACTCAGATTTTTTACTGTAACAGGCTTTTCTTTAAATTGGTGAGATTGATTACCAGCTGGTTGGATGAACATTTGAAACCACTTCTTAGTTTAAGTTATCAGAGTTTCTATGTATCCCTTACCTGTTCCCAGTTTACATTAGCTTTCAGTTTCTTTTCGGGATACTTTTATACAGTATAGGTGTTGGGGTATAAAATTACAAATTAGTGCTTTTTCTTAGTGCTAATTTTCTTGATTCGTCTTTGTAATAAGTGCACATAATAAATTATTGGAAGTTAATTATAGATGTGGAATAAAAATTCTTCTATTTTGAGTGGTTGTCAGAAATTTTTTTATTGCTAAATTAGATAATGAGCTTTTAAGAGACCATGTGTTATTCTGTATTATTTGTATACGGTTTAAATCCTTAAAGAAAGGAAGCAGATAAGAATTTTTTTTCCTTGCTAAAGGGAGACAGAACATTATATAAGATCTTTTATTTATTTGATTTACTTTTTCACAGTTACTCTGACCCTCAGCAGCTCACCTCATTATCTTTTCCTCTGTTGTGCTCTAGGCTGGCCCTCTTCCACTCACCAACATTCAGTGACAGCCCCCAACCAGTCATTCTGACACCAGCCCATCCTCACAGCCTGCCGAGAACCTCCCCACATCACAGTCCCACGGGCCCCAGAATAAGGTCAAGACCACTCATAGCCTGGTTCCCAGGCTTCCCCTGCCCAGCCCCTGCCCCAGTTCAGACGACCCCATGCCCTGCAGTCTCCTTCTCCAACTCAAGGTTTCCTCATCACAACTTTCACCTGTTACTGCTCACTGACCCTACTACATGTCCCAGGGGCAGGGCGGGTGTAGAATTGATTCGTCTTTGTATTCCCAGAAGCCAGCATGACTCCTGGCATGCAGCAGGCACCCAATAAATACTTGCTGGCATGCAGCAGGCACCCAATAAATATTTGCTGAACTTAATAACTCACGCTGCAAAGCTGATCACCACCGTCTAGGGCACCCTGTCACCTCATCCTGCAACAGACCTTCCTTTTCATCTTCACCATTTGGCTTTCAGTCAGCTATGTAGAATAGAACTAGGAGCTCTTGATATATATTGACCCTAACCAAAATATATTCCTGAAGATTCTCTGAAAGCCTTCATAGGAAATGTCTGTCATTG